GTTAATATGTTGTGGGGTTGTTAACCAATGTCATAAAACAACATGTGTACTACTGTTTCATGAGAAACTATTTGTTCTGTAAGCCTCCACCTGAAATACAATAAAAAAATAAAAAATAAAAAAATGACAAACTGATTTAAAAACAAAAATTAGACAACTTCAATGGAATTATAAGTTTCCCACTACTATTATACCAAATTTGTTTTAAAAAAAGGAAGTTGCATGTTTTGTAAGAAGAGTCAGAGAAAAGATAATTATTTCTATTTTTTTAAAAAAGGTAGTTTCAAGTTATCAGTTAGAAATAATTCTCTAAATGAGAAAAAGCATTCCATGCATAATGAATAACAATGAAAAGTCCTGGGTATGGGAGTCAGTTCTGAGCAACTGTAAGGAAGCTAGCCTGCCTACAGTGAAGTGTGTATGGGAGGGGGTACAGGTGACAAGCAGGGGGAGTGGTGGTGATTATGTAGAGCTATGAAAGATTTAAGCTAAGAAAATGAACTATATTAGTTTCTACAGTTGGTCAAAACATTCAGAATTTACTGCAGAGTAAATAAAACATAATACTGTAATTTGATCTAAATTAATTCTTTATCCTCTAACAATAACCTGATTTTGCTATGTTCTAAAAAAGAGGATATAAAACTGCCTCCTTTGGTGATATATTCACACAATCCTTTCAAAAATATAAGGAAGTTAAGGCATGCAAATCGCTTTGTTTTTCCTTTTGTGTCTCTGTGTATGTGTTTAAGAATATTCAAGAATGTAACATTTATCTCTAAAACACACTGATAAAATATTAAATTCTTAATCTTATGTGATCTAAACAGTTTAATTTATAACACAAATTCTTGGACAAGGATTTCAATGACATAAACAAGTTGCTAATATATGGTGGACTCCCTGTTCCTCCTTTAGTCTTCTATCCATTTATTCTCAACGGAGGAGTCAGAGAGATCTAGTTAAAACCTAAGAAAGATTTTGTCACTCCTACACTCAAAACAATCTCCTGACTTTCTAAATCACTCAGAAAAAGCCAAGGTTTTTGCAATCTAGGCCCCTGTTCCAGTTATTTACTGCAGCTCATCTCTGCTCCATTAGGCATCATTTGAGGCAGTTTGAAGGCTTAGACCTGAAATCATCTGAAGGTCTCTCACCGTCAGACAGCTGATGCTGGCTGCTGATGCTGGAACCTCTGCTGCAGCTGCGACCAGAACACATACATGCAGTCTTTCTGCATGGCTGCTTGGTTTCCTGACAGTATGGAGGCTCACTCACTTCCAAGAGTCAGGTGGAAGCTGTATAGCCTTTTCTAACCTGTCCCAACCTCAGATGTCTCACAGTATTATTTCTGCCACATTCTACTTGTTGGAAGCGCATCATGAAGGCTGGCCCATGTTCAAAAGAAGAATCAGACTCCTTTTGATAGGAAGAATACAAAGAATTTGCAGATAGGTTTTAAAGTGACCACAAACTCCCATTACCTCTCTGATCTCATCTCCTACCACTCTCCCCCTTGCCCACAGTGCTTCTGCCACCCAGGATTCCTTAGAGTTCCTTGAAAACATCACGCACACTCCCACCTCAGGGCCTCTGTAGCTGCTGTTCCTCTGTCTGCCCAGAAAGCTGCCTTATCAACACCTTTTTCAGGTCTTGACTCAAATGTCATTTTCTCAATGAGGCTTTCCTGTCCACTCAACTCCCTGCCTCTTTCTCTCTTTATTTTTGCACCTTAGCACTTAATACCATCTAACATACTACAAATTTTGCTTACTTATTGTCTCCTCCTCTATAAGACTATAAGCTCTGTTAGAGCAGGGCTTTTTATCAGTTTTGTTCCTCATTCCTTACTACAGCATGCTGTATCCTCAGTGACCACAGCAGTGCCCAGAGCGCAGTAGGAGCTCCACGAACATTTACTGAATGAATAAAACCATTTCAAATTAATAAAATATGTAATGTTCCTAATAACTTTATACTACTTAAAATATTAATTTTAACTGCTCTTATATAAAAAATGGAAAACATAACCCTGAATAAGTCATTTTAAGAATTAATCTTCAGAACTATAAACCACTGCATAATAAACTTTAATTACAAATAAACTATATCAACAATCAAATTAGATTTTTTGAGAAACAATTGGTAGTATTTGTTCAGAACTATTAAAAAGTTACCTTCAATGCACAAAATATGCAAGCATCTCCCTGACAAACATGTCCAGTTAAAATCCGCAAGCTTCGTCGGAATATGTCCAATTGCCACAAAACCTAAGAAACAGTGAGATGGGAAGAAAAAAAAAACAGTAAAATTTTTCTTACTGTGAAAAAATTAGATTTAGACATTTACAACATCTCAGGTTAATAACTAACTTCTTTTAATCACTTGTGTGGACATATACCACCACTAAATATAATAGCAAGGGGCCTGGGTGGCACAAGCTCTTTGGGATCAGCTGCTAACCTAAAGATTGTTTCAAACCCACTCACTGGCTCTACGGAAAAGACCTGGTGAACTGCCTCCATAAAGATCCCAGCCAAAAAAACTTCATGGAGCAGCTCCACTCTGTAACATGAGGTCACCCTGAGTCGGAGGCCAACTCGACAGCAGCTAACAAAAATAATAGCAAGTATAAAGCTAAACTGCTATATATGTATATGTATATACGGGGATATAAAAGACAGAGTTAGAAGATATTTTTATTGATACATATCTAAAAGCCATGATAGGCGTAAAGTAGAAAAAAGCTAACTACTCAGGTAAGGATTTGATATGAATAGGAAACATGGGATACTATTAAAGGACTTGGCAGAGACATGAAAAAGGAAGTGATTATAGACACTTGGAACAAACTGAAATTTAGGAAGGAAATATAACTGGAGTTTAAAACCAGGATGTACTAAATAGGGGTCAGTGTTGTGGCAAGAATAAAGGGTGAGCAGAGACCTGTGTGGTCACTGTATACTGAATGAGCAGGGCGACACATCACATCATGTGATAATGGGGACAAAGCAAGGTAAGCAGTAGTAACTAAGAAATAACCAGAACATATTTGCTCTAATTATCATCTGCTACTAAAAAGCAAAAACAAAACTTTTTGCTGAAATACATCAGTACTATACTAAAAATCATTCTGAAAAACCTGACATCTATACAATGGAGATAATAATAGTGCGTGTCTTATCCAAAGCCAGTTGCTGTCAAGCTGATTCTGATTCATGGTGACTCATGTGTGTCAGAATAGACCTATGCTCTGTAGTATTTTCAATGGCTAATTTTTCAGAAGTAGTCTGCCAGGCCTTTTTTTTGAGGTGCCTCTGGGTGAACTCAAACCGTCAACCTTTCATTGCTACTATATTAGAACAAACAATTTAATTGATTTTAACTAGTTTCCTATGCTTTCAAATAATAAATAACTAAAAGACTTCTGAAAGTTGCTTTTTCTTAAAGCACAAACTAATGGAATCCATTTATCTATCATAAAGAATTCTCAGTGTTTCACAAAGCCCTTGAAAATGATTAATAACTTTCTTGTACATATCATAAAAAATACTATATCGACATCCATTTTACCAACAAAAAAGATGGAGATCAATGACAGCATAATTTTGGGAGGTAACAAAGCACTGTGGTTAATAATACAACCTCTAAAAGTAGGCTACCTGGGCTCTAATTCTGGCTCTACTGCTTTTTCACCAGTTCTTGGGCTGATTTAGGCAAAATACTTTCTGTGACAAAGTTTCCAATCAGTGAAATAGTGATAATAATTGTACCTACCTCTTAGGGATGTTTTAAGAATTAAACAGTGTTCAGACAACGGCCTAGCATACAGTTTAAGAACACAACAGATGCTAGCTATTAAATATTATACCTTTGCTTTTAACTTAGAACATTTAAAAATCACATCAATGTCATACCTACTTCATTGTACTGTTTTCTAATCAGATAAAAGTTTAAAATACTCAGTCAAAAGAGAAAATCCTCTGTAATCTGTTTATAAGGTTAGTGAAGTGAATTTTTCAAATGTAACTGGGATACTTTCTGGGAGTAGCAAAATTCTGAAATTATACAGGATTAAACACAGAAGAAAAGTATTTTATGTGGTTTCTTTTAAATCCTCTGCACATTATTCAATAGTTTAAAACCTGTTTTAATAAATTCGTATCACAAAACTATTCTATTTATAGTTCATTCTTATCCTATTTCATTTTAAAATGCTGACTATATTCTAGCCTCTGTTTAAGAAAATTAAAGTCTAAGCTAGTTTTTGTACTAATTAATTTTTAGCAATATACACATTTTTCTTTTTCATTTTTGCATGTAGTATTTTAACATGGTTCCTAACAAAATTAATGGAGTTTTTTTTAATGTTTACATGGCTCTTATTTAATTATTCCCCAAAGCTCAATACATATATGCACACACATTTAATAAACAGAAACTTATCATACTTCTCCCTTCAAAAATAACTTTGAAATTAATAATCATAGATTTTTCCGACTTAGGTTAGATCCATACCTTTTCAGTGTTTGCTTTTAATAATTTCCCACAAGATTTGTGACATAATTTCTCAGTTTCAAAATTTATTCACTAAATTGCATATTAATACTTATATTTTGAATTTTCAAAAAATGAAGTCAGGATTTTTCTGAAAAGTCTATTTCCATAGGTGTTTTGTCAATGAAGCCTTCTTTGTGAATTAGTTTATATGGCAGACATTTTACATAAATTAGTTATATTGGCAGTTCCAAGTTTCTTGTTACAATACTTTTTTAAAATTGTTCATTAGGGGAAAGCTTACAGCACAAATTAGTTTCTCATTCAAAAATTTACACAAACGGTTTTGTGACATTGGTTGCAATCCCTACAATGTGTCGGTACTTTCCTGCTTTCCCTTTCCACCCCGGGTTCCCCATGTCCATTTGTCCAGTTTCCGTCACTTCCTGCCTTCTCAGTCTTTGCTTTTGGGCAGGTGTTGCCCATTTGGTCTCAATGACTTCACTGAACTAAGAAGCACGTTCCTGTGTGTTGTTTTATAAGCCTGTCTAATCTTTGGTTGAAAGGTGGACTTCTGGAGTGGCTTTAGTTCTGCGTTAGCTGGGTGTCTGGGGGGTTCCTCCAGTCTCTGTCAGACCAGTTAAGTCTGGTCTTTTTTGATGAATTTGAATTTTGTCCTACATTTTTCTCCCACTGTCCAGGCCCCTCTATTGTGATCCCTGTCAGAGTGGTCAGTGGTAGTAGCCGGGCACCATCTAGTTCTTCTGGACTCAGGTCAGTGGAGGCTGTAGTTCATGTGGTCCATTAGTTCTTTGGACTAGTATTTTCCTCGTCTTTGGTTTTCATTCTCCTTTGCTCCAGACGGAATGGGACCAATAGATGTACATTAGATGGCCGCTCACAATCTCTTAAGACCTCAGGCACTACTCACCAATGTAGGAGGTAGAACATTTTCTTTATGAACTATGTCAATTGACTTAGATGTCCTCCATAATCATGGTCCTCAGCCCTCAGCCCCAGTAACTTGGTCCCTCAAGGTGTTTGGATGTGTCTAGGAAGCTTCTGACTTTGCCTTGGTCAAATTCTGCCAACTTCTCCTATATTGTGCATTGTCTTTCCCTTCACCAAAGTGAACACCTGTCTCCTATCTAGCTAATGATTTCTCTTTCCCATCCCTCTCTCCCTTGTAAACATCAAAGATTCCTTTCTGTGTGTAAGCCTTTCTTTGGTTTTTATAACAGTGGCCTCATACAATATATGTCCTTTTGTGCTTGACTTATTTCACTAAGCATAATGCCCTCCAGATTTAGCCATGTTGTGAGATGTTTTATGGATTCATCATTGCTCTTTTTTGGTAAGTAGTACTCCACTGTGCATATGTACCATAACTTAACCATTCATCTGTTGATGAGCACTTAGGTCGTTTCCATCTTTTTGCTATCATGAATAATACTAGAATAAACATGAGTGTGCATATGTCTATTCATGTGATAGCTCTTATTTCCCTAGGATATATTCCTAGGAGTGGGATTGCTGGATCGTATGGTATTTCAATTTCTAGCTTTTTAAGGACGTGCCACATGGTTTTCCATCAAGACTGTATCATTTTACATTCCCACCAGCAGTGCATAAGAGTTCCAATCTCCCTAAGACCTCTCCAATATTTGTTATTTTCTATTTTTTTGATCCATGCCAGTAATGTCGGGGTGAGATGGTATCTCATTGTAGTTTTGATTTGCATTTCTCTAATGGCTAATGATCACAAGGATTTCCTCAAGTGTCTGTTAGTTGCCTGCATGTCTTCTTTGGTGAAGTGTCTGTTCATATCCTTTGCCCATTTTTAAACTGGATTGTTTGTCTTTTTGCTGTTGAGCTGTTGAAGTATTCTATAGATTTTAGAGATCAGACCCTTGTTGGATATGCCACAGCGAAAACTGTTTCCCAGTCTGTAGGTTCTCTTTTTTACTCTTTTGGTGAAGTCTTTCAATGACCATAAGTGTTTAATTTTCAGGAGTACCCATTATCTAGTTTATCTTCTGGTGAGTTCTAAGTTTTTAACAAATAATATTTTTTAAAGTATATGATAACATCTAAACATTACTTAAAAAAAAAAAAAACTTGGTAAACACATATGAAATAAGTAAGATTTAGATTTTCTAAGTACATAGCTGGTTAAACAAGGTGCCTCCGAGGGTCAAAGTAAGATATAAGTAATAGTTATTTTTGGAGCCCTGGTGGTGGAATGGTTAAAAGCTGGGCTGCTAGCCAAAAGGTCGGCAGTTCGAATCCACCAGGTGCTCCTTGGAAACCCTATGGGGCAGTTCTACTCTGTCCTATAGGGCTGCTATGAGTTGGAACCGACTCGACAGCACATAAACACAGTAGTTATTTAATAAGTTTTTTATATACTCCTAAAACTGAGAATGTGAAATGACTGTACATATTAGGTGGTTTGTAATTCCTTGCTTGACTAAAGAAGAATCCCATTAAAATGACAGCTGGTAAATCGTAACAAATAATTTTTGATCACAGAGCTTTTGGCATGTAATTCAGAAATAATTCAGAGAATTGAGTGACACAGCAGTAACAAAAGTCTTTCCATTCTCATGTTACTTTGTGTTTTGATCAGCTAATCCAATAATAACTGTAACGATAATGCAACCTAGAAGAAAAAAAAGATGAGGACTTAGAGCCTTATAATCAAAACCAAACCCACTGCCATCGAGTAGATTCCGACTCGTAGCAATCCTTACAGGACAGAGTAGAACTGCCC